ATCAGTCCTTTGCTTAGTTATGAGGAAAATATCCCAATAGTTTTAAGTTTGCAAACTCTACATAATAGTTACAAAGAAATGTCTCAATGTTGTGCTTTTTATGTTTACTAGTTTTGCAGACAGTATGTTAATGATTATAAAAGAAACCAATTTAAATGAAAATTAAAAAAAAATTCTTATTGTTTTAGTAACATTCAAGTCATTACTTTAAAGGGTCATTAATAATAATCAAAATGCATTTGACAACGTAACATGTGAAAACAGCTATACAAAGCTTAGCTTAAATAATTAGGTAAGCAATGGTAAGCTTACAAAAAATACTAACAATGTTGTTCCTGGTGAATTCCACCGTAGCAACAATACGAAGCTATCAGCAAGAGAAGAGACAGGTTTTGTAGCATTGGCTAAAAAAGAATTTCTATGTAACACAACAACATAAACGGAAAATTTATTCTAAACCATATGCAAATTATAGTAAGAAATCATATTAAACTACTTTAATGGTACTTTTTCATTCAATTTTCAAATGTATTGCAAATTAAATTATTTTAATTGCATAACTAACCAAAAATTTCTGATTTGACTATTAACTTTCTGAAAATTAGTCCCAGCTTATCGCAAAATTTTAAATGCAGACTCTCTTGTATAAAAAAAAAAAACCTGTTTTCCCCACCTTATTTAAGAGCAAAGAAAATTTAGTATAACTTTTACCCAAAGACTCTATGTTTGGATATTTAACATGACACTAGATAAAAGTTTAGGTTACCACGAGAGTAGAATTATTTAGAAAGTGACAAAATAAGCCAAACCTTTTGACTTTTCAGTTGCAGCATTTAGCAAATTTTATTCTTAAAAAAATTCCAAATATATAATAATCATGAGAATCTAGTTATATCACATCAAACAAGTTGATGTATCTGAGCATATTGCTCGAGATATATTTTAGATGAAGCAGGGTATATGTCGGGGAATGCAATCCTGGCACCACAGGATCACAAACCAATGTCTGCAGAATTATCACTTCAACCCCACAGGAAAACTAATTTTTCTCCTTTAAAATACTTGATATATTTTATGGATGCTTGAATCAAACAATTCTCAACATTGATGCAAAATTGGCAAGCGCAAATTGGTATTGAACAGCCGCCCCAATTTTAAGTTTATGACTTCCAATGTTCAACTCCGTAACCTTGCTATTTTGAACCCATTCCAGAAGGCAAGGAAAACCCTGAATCAAGTTTTGGGAGAAATTTACTTTCAAGGAGGACTTTTTGATAGAACTAACCCGCACTTGAGAAAGGAAAAACATGAATCCCTGCATGGTTAGCCTGGCAGCAAGGGAACTCTAACACATAATCCATCTACCATTGAGGATATTTTATGTCAACGCTGTGGTCAGTGCAAGCCAGGTGAAGAATTCGTATCGACAAGCCATCACTGGGATTCAAACCCAGGTCACCTTATTGAGAAGTCAATATATAACCGTCGTTGAACAGCCGACAAAATTTTGGGTTTACGAGTACTACTAATATTCCACTCCGTAGCCGTGTCATTTTGAACCAATCCAAAAGACAAGGAAACTCCTGGATCAGTACCCCCAGAAGTATGATTTGCTACGGGAACATAGATGACTTTGTGACTAGACAGATTTAATGTGCACCAGTCACAATTTAGTACACGGGGAGTCTTTGGCTCGAACCCACGCCCTCTTGGACATGGGCCCAGTGCCCTGCAAACCAGGCTTTAGAGTGGCAAGATGGAAAAAATGTGATTTAGCACTATTTTGCCTCAAGCCTTTCATTTATTTGGAATCAAAAAAGTTAAAGAAATTATACTTACTAAATCGCACTAAGTTGTCCTTAAGCCTAAAAAATATAATTTTTTTTAAAAAAAAAGACTTAATAATACAGATAAAACTAAGTTTATTAATAGAACATTGTAAAAGTTTTAAGAAGAAGAATTAAGTTAAAATATGCATGAAAATAAAAACTTTTAAAATAGAAAAAAATTAAAATTGAAGACTTGTAATTCATAAAAGTTAATACCAAATGTGTCCTTTCATGAAAATTGACAAAGTTTATATCGAATAATAATTTTACTAAACACATATAATTTTTTACCAACCAGTTTTAGCACATCATAACTAATAGATATTATGAAATGATTGTGATTTAGTCTTTTTAGATGTTATAGGGAACTGGTATTAGATACTTTAGAGCTAATTTAAATTTTCCCGGTAGTTACACCCTTTAAGAGACAATTATAAAAGCACAACAGAGAAAAAACCATACAATCCTACAGATATTATTGGTCTTGCTGACAAATTAATTTTCAGTTTGAGGATTGCCTGTGATTGAGAATGTGCTTCTCAATCCCTTACAGCAAAATGAAACACATCAAAGTGGATGCAAGGGAAAAACAAGAACATTGCACTTTTCCTTTTTAAATGTACTTAAATTTTTTAAGAGATGAACTTGCTTTTGAAATAAATAATTAGTCCTTTAATAAATTTTATGTTCACTGATTAGTAGTATATGGGGGGGGGGCTAGAGGACACATCTAAACTCCCTATTTATAATTATTTTAAGCCCTTTTTGACAGTTTTAACATCGAAAAATGACATAAAATCTTTAAAAATAACAACTTTTGAAAATCAAAAACACTAAGTGTTTTGTTATGAAAAACTCTTATTTTAGAGTAAAAAACACTAAGAACTACTTATTCACAATCATTTTAGTTCCTTTTTATCAATTTTAACATCGAAAAACGACATAAAATCTAAAAAATTAGGTGTTTTGTTATAAAAAACTCTTATTTTAGGTCGAAAAACACTAAAAACAACTTCGAATACCTTTGAAATAAAAAGTATGAAAATGAGCACCTTAAGGTGAAATATGAGCAAATAATTGACGAAACAAGCCATTCTGTCATATAACTTTGACAAGTTGTTTTCGATATGTGAATAAACTCCAATATTTTCGTTTTTTTAATAAATTACAAAAATTCAATTTTCTCAACATGCAAATAAGGTTTTATTAAATTTGAATCTCCGTCAGTTAATATTGATATTTTCAGAATTTCGTTTCTTTTTCCATAAGCAAAACATGTAACAGATTCAGCATTAACAGTGATAGGTACAGACAATATTCTTTGATTACCTATTTCAATTTTTATCAAAGGTTTCCATGAATATATTTCAGAGTGTAAGTATATCGTTATTTTCATATACATATTTGTTGTAAATTTCAAGTTAGGTTCCAACATTTTAGAGCTCATTACATTGAAATTTATAAATTCAAAGCCCCCCGTAGTATAAGTGGTGTGCCTCTCTTGAATAGTTGCATAAAAATTTTGAAAGTCTATGTACTCTTTTGTAGCCACATCTTTATTTATAATAGGATTTGCCACGTTTGTAATTCTATGGTTACTGACATTATAAGTACCATTTTTTATTAATGCAGGTACATATAATCCATCATTATCTCTTCTTAAAAGATTATCAGATTTTTTGTCATTTATTTTTATTCTCCTATCCACATAATGTTTATGAACAGCATCGGTGTTTTTAGTGGGATTCGAAAGATTTATGCTTTTCTTATTTCTTGCATCATAATAGCCCTCATCTGATTCAAATAAACCTTTTTCTTGTATGTAAGTTTCCAAAGCTTTTTTAACAGTAGATGAATCATCTTCCAGTGGATAATAAGCAGCCATTTATTAATTTTAAATAATTCATTCTTTTAATGGTTCATATAGCGGTACTCGTGTATTATGACAAATTTCAGCAAGAAGTATACAAACAATCTTTTCTTCGTTTGAATTATAAAATTCTTCTGGTAATATATTGCTTTTATTTTTTATTAAAAGACAGAAATCTATTTCAGAAACAAATTTTATTGCAAAATCTTTATCAATATCTTGATATTGTATAATATAATCCCAATTTACATAATCTTGAAATTTTCTTATAAGGTCCATTGATAATTTTTGATATCTAGATGCAACATTAATATTTAAACGGTCATAATAATTTTCTATAAATCTTAAATCCAAAGATTGGAATCTTGATATTTCATACCAAGTCACTTTATCTATCAATGCCAAGTCAATGTCTCTCAATAAAACGGATAGATAAGGTTTGGTATCTACATATTTTTTCCCAATCTACATCAGAGGTGTGTTTTTCAATATGAGATTCATTGAGTTTTTGATATTGAGAAATAATAAACCAATCATCTGGTTGTGTATGCTGTTCTATTAACCTTTCAGATAATTCAGAATATTGAAACACATATTCCCATTTAAAATAATCTGATAAACTTATAATTACATCTTCTGAAAGTTTCTTTTTAGAAAAGTCATTCCAATTTATTTCATTTGCCATTTATTAACAAATAATGTTTACACTTTCTTAAATTTTAATTTCTCAATGTGTATATAGGGTTTCATATTACAGTTCCCTTCTGTTAATACCGATAACACTAAATTTGCATTTAATTTTCCATAGACAAAGATAATTATTTATTCTTCATTGCTTTATCAATAAGGACTTCTTTCATTTTCTCTAAGCGTATTCTTGGATTTTCATTCATTTTTTCACAGGCTAAAAAGATGGTAATTTTCATATACATTTTTTGAGTTAAATTTTAAGTTTGCACCCAAAAGCTTTGAACTAAATTCATCGAATTGAAACATTTTATATCCCGCACCTGTGAATTGAACTGTTCTACTTGTGGTAGCACAAAATGTTTTAGTATCAACATAGTGTTTATTAACACGATCTTTATCATGAGCTTTTACATTTGAAATTCTTTCATTATGAGCATGACAATTTCTTTTACTCACGTCCCATAATATACAGTAATACTCTAAATGCTCCCTATTAACTACATCTGTTTTGTTTAGAGGAGCTTTTACATTTGAAATGATTTTATTTTTAGCATCAAAGTCATTTTCATCATGTATCAAACAATTATCTCTTAATTCATCAATATATTTCTTAGTTGCAGCATCAGATTCTTCTCTAGGATCTCCTAAATTTTTTATATATTTTTGTTTTGCATTGAAAAAATCTCCCCCGTGAATCAGACTATTATCTGTAAAAGTATGAATTTTTTCTTTTATTTCCTTGTAGCTACTATCTACGTAACTTTTAGTTGCAAAATCAATATCTTCTCGAGGATCATTTGTTATTTTAAATCCTATACCAGGAGGACCTGGTGGACCTTCTTTTATTTCATCGCCCAGAGGATAATAAGCAGCCATTTATTAAAATAATAAAAATCCTTTATGTTTTTAGAGTTTTAATCATTTTTATATCTTGAGTTGACATATTCACAGAGCATTTGTTTCTTTCTTTCAAAATGAAGTAAAAAACATAATTTTTAGTAGCATTATTTCTCAACCTCCAATTGAATTCAATTATTAAATTACTTAAGTTAGTATAATTTTCATGGTTTGCCAAGTTGAAACAAATTATAGGATACTTACTGAAATTTGAATAGTTTCTCATACAACCTATTTCAAAATTTATATTATTCATTCCTGATTCTAAAAGAGCATAAAATAATCGATTATAATCATTTTTATCAAAGTCCATCATATAACTTACTGTGGGAACTTTAATGTTATTAATCAATAACCAACATTCTATCATATCCAAGTGATCAAACATCATGTTATTTTGATTCATGTTTTCATTTCTTTCTTCATATTGTGGAATGACATATAAACTCAAAACTTCATCAGATGTAGCAGGAATAGAATAAGATCCACTGGCATTTTTATAAAATACATTTGATTTGATAATGTTATAATGATCCCAATTTATTTCTATAGGAGCATTTGATAATTTTAATTCACTAAATTTCACAGATGCTGAATTTTTAAATCTAACATAAGGTAACCAAAGTGATAAATCTTCAACAAGAACCTTAAAATCTGGATTTTGAATATCTGTATACAGCATATTTTTACTATCATTTCTTTGAATTTCTATTTTAACTTGAAAACCAGTCATTACTTTTTTATATTCGTTAAAGAAATCAAATATATATTTTAAAGGAATCCATATTTTTACTGTTTGACTATTTTTAGTAAATTTACATCTTTTTGAAAATCCTTCATTAAAACTTTCACTTAGTTTAATGTTTTTTAAAAATTCAGTTATTTTGGTAGTTTCTACCAGAGTTCCATTATATTTGAAATTCTTTCTATCTGCAGAATCAGCTGTATCTACATAAAAGAACATGTTAGCAGCTTTCGATGTTGAATAATCAGGGGTGAAGAGTATCATCCCTAATACTTGATTCATAATGGCTTTATAATTTATAGTGGATTCAACTTCAGTATTTCCTATAATCAACCTGTTTGAATTTACGAGACCTCCTCCATTCACTAGAGTAACATTTTCATTACTTATTGTACCTCCATCTCCTTTTACAATTTTTAATTCCTGTTGCAGATATCCTGCAGAATATAAAATATTAGCATTTGTATCATTGATAAAGAAATTATATGTAGCATTTTCATGAATATTATTTCTATTTTCACTTTTTAATTCTCTATATTCAAAACTTTCAATGTCGTTATTATAATAATAACTAGTGTCTTTCAAATCGTAAATTTTAGCCACTTATTCAGGAATAAAAATTTTCAAACCAGCACCATGTTTTTTATTTTTGGAAAATATTTCATTCAATTTTTCTCTTACAAATTCTCTAGATTTTTCTTCTACAATTGGTTTAACTTCGTTTCCTACCGCACTTATAAAGTCTGAAAAGAAGCCTCTTCCTTGTATTTTTTTACTCTTTCTATATAATCTATGTTTGTTCATTTATTTAGTAATAAATCTATACTGCACTTC